CAGCTGAAGCAGCGCCTCACGAGCTTCTGAGCATCTGCCACGCGTGACGGGCTGCAAAAGCAGCAGCTGCTAGTTGGAAAAATTGAACATTTGCTGCTCGATGCGCCGCATCAACCAATCAGAAAAGCTGAACTGGGAGCTGGCAGGGAGTCAGACACAGCACTGCTGATGCAGAGCGCTGTGATCACTCCTCTGAAACAGTTTATTAACGCCTAAATTCACTTAAAATGTTGAAACCTGCCAGTAAATTATGTTCTCTTGTATTATTCTGGTGCCTGCAGTCTGGTTTACGTACGTGAAAAACGCCTTCCAGCCGCAGCGAACAGTAGCGGAAAAACCGTGAAGAGGCGACCGGGCCTGAGGCTGCTGTTGAATGGGATTCCCAGTAACAGCACACCCGTCGATGTACGGGGGTTTCCAGATATTATTTGAAGGCAGGATCATAATGTTGATGAACTGACTGCACAGATAAAGTTTTAAGGTGGACTTTCTCACTTAAAAATATATTAAAACTACTTTTTAACCACTGATCACAGCAAATATAGCTGCCATTGTTGGAGGCAAAGAAAGGATAGGGTAGCTCCTCCCAACGCGCATCAGACCGCGCAGAAAAGATGCTTCTGAAGTTAACTTCTACAAGCATCAGAAATTAAGCAGGGTGCACGTTTCTGCTTCTGCTTCATGCGGTCTGAACGTAGAATAAGGAATTACCTTTTTAAATATATGATTAGGAAAGGTACTTATAATCAGCTTTATGAATTCCATTTAGAAACAGGAGTTCAAAACACATTTTTAAATAGCAGTATTAAATAAAGGCAATTCATAATGTGCAATTAGAAAACACTTTTCAAAGTTATTGATTTAAATGTTTAAAGATTATTATTATTTTATTTTTTATAATGACCCTCCTGGTCTCCCAAACAAGTCATCATGACTCCCTAATAGGATACAAACCTATACTGGACTGAACCAGAGATGTTCAACATTAGTGCGGTGACCCCTACTGGAGCAGGGCGGCACTGCAAGGAGTTTATGAAATTTTATTTTTAAAAAAAGGAAATAAAACTATAACATTTATCTCTTAAATCAAAGTCAATCAAACACATTGATTTACTTTTTTTGATTCCAGATTGCTTTATCAAAAATAACAACATCTGAAATATTCATTAAACTATAAAGACCTGATGAGCGTGGAGTTATTCCAGGTTTATTTTTTTATGTATATTTTATTATGTACACTAAAAGCATCTGGATTTAAAAAGAAAATCCTCTAAAGATGGAAACATTTACTTACAGATCTTGCTATATTATATATTTTTACATTAATTAGCTTGACTGAATATGAATTCATAATATCTGAAATACATTTCTTTCTAATCAACATAATAAAAATGATGATCAGTAACGCTCTGCGATGGACTGGCGACCTGCCCAGGGTGGATCCCGCCTCTCGCCCGCAGACAGCTGGAGATAGACACCAGCAGCCCTCGCCACCCCAATTGGGACAAGCGTGTAAGATAATGGATGGATGGATGGATGTATATTTTATTTGCTCCATCTCTCCACCAATTTTAGGGTTCCTGGACCTCTTTTTTTAAACATGCGGGCGCGGCTCAAACGTTGCTCTGAAACCTAACTGGTCCCCTAAGACAGTGTTTCCCAACCGGGGGTCCTTGTACCCCTAGTGGTCCGCGAGTACATTGGAAAGGGCTACATGAAAATAACTAATTTCTTAGGTAGTAAAATAAAATAGGGATCTGTTCTGCTTTCTGAGGACCAAATTGGAAAATGAAACAAGCTTTTATCAACCAAAAAAATATTTCTTTCTACTGTTTTTGAGCTCAGCTTTGACTCACATCCAAACCAAGCGGAGGAACAGACTGGATGTGGAGAACAGGCTGGGATCGGCTGTTTTTCACACGGAGCTCATCAAAGCAGCTCAGGTGTCTTGATAAAAAAATGTTTGTTCTGCAATTTGTTTCCATTTCATCAAGTTTAAATGTGATTAAATGGAGTTATTCAGATGAGCTCCACTACTACAAATACAGGTTTATAATAGAACCTTATTTTGTATTTATTTCAATTCTTTATTAACTTCCAGGCAACATATTTATTTTATTTTTTTTTTAGATGAAAAGAATAACATAATTAAATTAAAAGATTAAATAAAATAGTCTTTATTTCTAGGGATGCACGATATAATTGGCCCCCTATCGGTATCGGCCTTAAAACTGAATATCGGACATCGGCCACCCCACCGATATTTAACCCGATATTTGATCAGCTTCTGAGTTTCTAAAGTCTAAAAAATAAAAAATTAAAAAATACTACTACTTCTTAAAAACTTCTAAAGACGAGG